TATATATACATTATTTCATCTAACTTTGCATTTCTTTCGCATTTTTCACAAATATTTGTAATTTGTTCCTTTTTCAAAGTACCCTAGGGGACGATATTTCTTCAATTTTATCCATTTGAACACTGAGAGGAATCAAAACTTAACACAGTTTACTACCAAATTCGAGAGTGCCCTTTTTTTTATTTTTATTAAGGTAGTAAAATGGGGGAAGGATATAAAGTCCCCCCCCCCATTTTTTAAAATTTTTTTGTTCTTTCTTTTAAAAATTCTATTAATTTCTTTTCATCTTCGACAATATTAATGATGTTTGTTCGAGGAAACCTACACTTGAGTCATTGATTCTTTTCTTTAGTAGGATTAAAGGAAATAAGTTGGAGTTTTAGCAGGCAGTTGTCATAGGCTTATAGCTTGTTAATGAGTAATGTTTTTAAGTTCTCTCCTGTAGATTCTAAAATGAAAAGATAAAGAATTTGATTAACAAACCAATTGAATTTTTTTCTTTACTAAATTTCATTTTTTGATAAATCATGTAGTATTTGAATTGAATTTTAATTTGAGCTCAAATACTTTCCTTTTCCCCCTTCAAAAGAGAGATGAAAGTACAATATGTCAATGCCCAAATGAAGCAGTTTAGAAGAATATGCATGTGTTTTACTTGTAAGTAATAAAATAGAGAGAAAAAGCATCAATTGAATAAGTAGAGGTGTAGCAGACGTAGCAAAATAACATCAATTGCTATAAGAATATACTGTACAGAATACATCGATGTTTCTAGCTAGCTAGCATTTATAGTTGTTATATTTGGCTCTCAATCTTATGATGATCAGTATCTCACAGGCAAAGCAACGCTAAACAATAACATCATTGCCGACACACACTTCTCAACTTTTGTTTTATTCTGCACTTTTTCGTACGTAGCATTTAATTAGCAACCAAACCCCATCCTCCATGGTCCATAGACATCAATGTTACGAGTGCATTGTGGACTCTGGAGAAGGAAGAAGTTGCTTTTTTTTGCATATTGGAAAGATGCCTTGAAACTGTTATAATTGTAATTGATGATTTTTTCTTAGCATTGATTTTTAGAGTCTAAATGATGTCTCATATCCAAATGGTTCATGAAATTTTTGTATGTAATAATAAAATTAATTACCATTGAATTCAGGATTCGAAGAAAATGCCTAAAGAAACAAAGATACAGGGGCCATTGAATGATAACGCATGTATGTAAAACTCCTAGAGAGAGAAAAAACAAGTCACTGTTCATCCTTGAACCCTTTCATTCTTCAAATCTAAAACAGCTGACAGCTGTGTAGGAAAAGTCCAAATTTTAAGTGGTTAAGGGTTTTAACGCGTATTCACATAAATTGTATATATGTTTTCACGTGACCCCGAAAATTAATTAAACATTTGTTCCGTTCTATTTGATGAGCCTTTGATTTAATAATAGGCATAAATAATAGGTGTATGTATCCCTTAGTAAAACAGTAGTATTTGAATATTCTCTTTTTTAAATTAAAAAAAAATAAATGTTTAATTCATGTAAATTTAGTCAATAATTATGTGACATGAGCAATTGCATCACATATATTAAATTTTTTATGATGAAATTTTTCCTTGACACTATTACAATAAATAATTATGACATTATTATTTGGTTACTATTATAATTGTAATTGTGATGGTTTAAATTTTTTTGCAATTAAATCATTATTATAATTATGTTTTTGTGATGCAAAATTATTTGTTATTATAGAATCATTACTGATAAAATATAGAAATTAACAGCAAATATGATGACATGTGAAGCGGTCTATTAGACATTGATGCAACAAGAAAAATTATGTCACATATATTTTACTTTTTGTTTTGACAAATTTGCCACTATTAAATATAAAATTTTAATGGCGACTGTTTGTGATTACAATAATAAATTTATCAATGTGACAATTAAAATAATCATTATTAAAAAAACTATAATGACTGAAAATTGATTTCTCATCATTTACATTGACAAATTTAAGAAATTATTTTTGATTGCAATAACAATTTGTTTATCATCAAATTTATTTATTTTTATTGTAATAACAATTGTAAAAGTTTTTCAAATATAAATATATTCAAACTACTAATATTGAAAATTCATCACTAATGTTAGTATTTTAATATATATTTAAAGTTTAACATAAATTTGACACAATATTAAAAACAATATAAAAAATAAAAGATTTATAATTAACAAAAATTTCGATCTGAAGCTACAAAAAAGTTTAAATAATCTATTCTAATCATCACCATATGCCTCAACTTCACTTATTAGATTTATCTGTCATCTTCATAAAAATATAAATTCATCTTAATCATATTCATAATTTTCTTCTTCAACACCGAACATATATATTAAGATTTAATAAACTTCTTTCAACATTTGTATTGACTAATTTAGCACTGTTCAAAGATTCCATATTATTAGCATCATGCAATTTATTGAACTTTTGATTTTATTTTTTTCTTCTTTTATTGCCTAATAATTTTTCCATTAGAAAGATTAAGTCATCAGCATGGAGAATTTGTTAGTGGTATACTAATTTCTTTTCATATTAAAATTATAATATTGTGTCTCAATAAGAGTCTAATAGAAAATAATTTAATTAATTGATGTTAATTATTAATGGATATTAATAGTAATAAATTAATAAGCCATAATTGTTTAAATAATAATATAATTCAAGTATATATCAGCATGTTAGTATATAAGATTTGAAAAAAAAAAAAACAAATTCTAAGCCAAATAAAAGTTGTAAAGGTTTTAATATCAAATATCATCCTGTCAATATGCAATGCAATGATAATTTTAAATATAAAAACAAACAATAAAAGTCAAATTAAATTAGTTTGATTAATAAGTATAAACTGCTATTTAATTTAAATGCAATTCTACAATTTTATAAATAGGAAACACCATAATCCACAACCCAACTATATAAAGTACATAGGTTTTAATTATTTTCATAAGATCAAATGCCAGTAAATGAGGGAGTCATTTCATTTATTAATTTTAGTTATAAAAAATTAAATTACTTATATATATATGATAATAAGCTATTTAAAAGTAAATAATTATAATTATTATAATTAATAATTTATTATTTGTTTATTAAGAGAATATGTGAAAAAAATTTAATTACTTTTTTTATGTCACCATTCCATCTAAAATAATGGTGAAAAAAGTACATTTTTAATTAGATACTAGAAGTAGTTTAACCTGTTATATTGGTTAGACTAATTATTTTAATATAAAAGTAAAAAAAAATAAAACAAATAAATATTATAAAAATATGAAATTAAAAATATATAGTATTTCATATATTGCAATTATTTTTTTTTATTTTTTCATGTTATGTTATGATTTTTTATTTTTTATTATTTATTTGATCTAATGTATATTTTTATTTTTATTTTTATAATTACAAACTTTTTATAAAATATCTAAAATAGAAGAAGAAAAAAGCAAAATAACTTAATTTTTAGTTTTAGTTTTTAATCTTTTTATATTTAACTTTAACATTATTATTGTATTTTTATTATTTTATTTTATGTTATTTTATTGTAAATAATAAAAATTCAAAATTTATAAAAAACAGTCAATTACAATCTAACATCACACAAACATCGCATTCTTTTTTTTTAAAAAATAAAAACTTATTAAAGTCCAATTCATCATATTTTAACCTAAATAAAACCCAAAATACTGTGACCTACTAATCCAATAATTTATTAAAATTTTTTAGGTAGCGGCAATTGAATATTTTAACCCATTAAGCCAACATAAATAAAGATAAAGGAACACAATATAAAATAAAATGAAAAAACCATAACATCAAAGTCCAGTGAAAACACAATTCTCTTTGTTTATATCTAAATTAGCAAGGAGCCAAGGATCTCATTACGTGTACGGTTGTTGAAGTAATTTTTTTTTTCACTTAAAGTCATGTACCTAATACCATTCAAACATTCAAACTTGTGTCTCACGTTAAGATTTAGACGATGGGTGATTTTCAAAGAATCATAATTTTATGATTTTTATGGTTTTAAACCATAAGTTGTAATTTTTTAATCATTAAATAATTGAAATAAAAGTTGATGTGTGGATAATGACGATTGAGACATGGCATCACTCTTTTGCATTATAATTGAATATTAATTAGCTTTTGGATAAACATAGTTCACATTTTATGATGTAAGTTTTTGTCAAATTTAATATGACAATATAATAAGTTTTTGTCAAATTTAATATGACAATATAATGTTGTCATATTATATATGAGTTTCAAGTTGCACATGCATTTAATTAATTATTTAATATTTTAGTGAAAATTTAAATATCTATATCTAATTTCCTGATGGTAAAGCTTCGAATTATAAACTCAAATTTGACTAAATGGCTGTCATCCTTTTCGAGATTGGGGCCCACGGTTCTTGCTCTTCTGTACTGTCCACATATAGGAAAACAATAAATAATGAAAATGATATATGGGAAATTTTAAAACGATCTTACATACCTTGACTTACACATTGGGAACTACGTAGAAAAAGAAGGCATTCCAGATGTATATTATGGACCTCAGAATATGTTGTGAATTAGGTGCACTTCTTTTTTTATGTATATAAATGAGACTTAGGATTTGAATTTTAATATTTAGAATTAACAGTTTAATATTTTATCAAAATGACGATGTTGGCACATGTACTTGTCACTTATCTCTATCTCTAATTCCTATATAAACGATTCCCTTGTAGCTCTGTCTCTTCAGTTACAACTCACCACTGTCTCTCAACTCTAATTGAAGCCAAAGCTAGCCGCCGTTGCTGTCAAACTCTTTCCATCACTGATTCACTTTCCCAGGAAGCATTTCCAAAGTTCTTCTAACAATTAAGAAATTGAGAATTTATGTTAATGATTTTGTCACATAAAATCACCTTAATTTGTCTTACCCAGAATGGGAAGGATTCCATTATGCAGTGCAGATGGTTTGAAGAGAGGAGCCTGGACAGCTGAAGAAGACCAGAAGCTGATAGCTTACATACAAAAACACGGTGAAGGAGGTTGGCGTTCCCTGCCCAAGAAAGCTGGTTAGGTCTTTTCTGTTTTTGTTCTTCCATGACTTGATAAATCAATTGTCTTTATTTTATGGAAAATGATCATGTTTCTTTGTTGATTTTCAGGTCTTCGAAGATGTGGGAAGAGCTGTAGACTGAGATGGGTAAATTGTCTGAAACCTGGTGTTAAGAGAGGAGACTTCACCTCGGATGAAGCTCAAACCATCATTGAACTTCATGCTGCATTAGGCAACAGGTGACAGCAAAGCTTTTCATTGACCAACGCAAAAATATTACTATATTCTTGCTAGACTTAGTTGCCATTTAGATTCTACTGATTTTTGGTGTGACGTGATTAAACTTATTGCATTTTTGGTTGAATTCAAATGTTAAATTTGGTGAGATCAAATCAACATTAATTTTTCATTAATTTTTTCAATCACAGATACAATAATTTTTTTTTCAATCATAATTACAATAATTTTTATTACTATTTTTAATTTCATTATAATCAATCTCACCGTCCATTCAAATGAAATCTTAGACCAACAACAACGAATTTAAAAGAAAATGTTTTTAAATAATTTATTATTTTAATTTTAGGTTTCTCTAGAATATTGAATATATTTACATTATCATACTTAAAATAATCTCCAACATTTTCTTAAAAAAATATAAGTAAAGATACAAATGAGGAAAATTGGTTGTCTTTTTATAAAAAAAGATATAACATAGGAATAAAAGATATGTCGTTTTTTAAAATAGAAGTCATAATTTAGAGATAAAAAAAAGATTTTAGATGATGAGATGTTAATTTAAAATTAGTGCATGAATGTCATCTTTTAAGGATAATTATATGAGTTAATTAAGTTTTGAGTTTGACATTTGTTACATATGCTGAGATGCAAATTTTTGTCCTTCAAGCAAGAAAAAAGAATGAGATCCTTCGAATCAGCACTGCCCTTTTTGTGCTTTTAAGAGATTAATTATGTTTTTCTTTTAAGTGTTTGGCTTTCTGGGTTGTTGTCATGATCAATCTCACCTATACAAAATTTTTTTCCTTTAAGGTGGGCAGCAATAGCTAGGCACTTAAGAAAGAGGACAGACAATGAGATTAAGAACTATTGGAACGCTCATCTCAAGAAATGCTTAGTTAATTTGGGTATAGATCCGGTGACTCACAAGCTTGTTGGCACCGCTCGTGGCACCTCATCCAGTGAAAATTCCAACACTACTATGGTCAATACAGACTCAATGATCATTCTTGAAGAAAATGCAACATCCAAAGAATCTGAACCCACATCGCAACAACCAACATCATCAAGGTCCGCTTCAGCTTCAACTTTACTGCTCAATAAGTTAGCCACTAGGGTCACGTCATTGCAATGTGTTGATCTTGATCCCGTAAGAGCTTGTCAAAGATTGCAAACAATGTCATTTAACAGTACTACTAGCGATGGTGGTGCCAATAGTGAAAGTTCTACTGCTACAATTTGCCACCCTACACCAAGTTGTCAGGGAAATAATGCATCAATTGCACTAGACACGTCAGATTATTGGCCGGATAATATTTCTGATCCACGTACAACGCCTTTAAATTGCTTAGATTTGTTGAATATAGTACTTTCTCCGGTGTCAGCAGATCATGGAAATGCCGGTGATGACGGTGGTGTTAGTTTTGATGCAAACATCGAGTATCCTGATCTATCTGATGCATTAAGCATCCTAGAGGGTAATGCATCTGAACCTGCATGGTCTTGTTCGAGTACTTCGTCTCAAGTCTTAAACAACATGGCTTCCAAATTCGCTTCATTGTGCTGCATTGATGAACTTCACAATTGGCAAAACCGCAACACCATTCCACCAGGACCAATCCAAGGTGACCATAGTGTTACTAAAACAACTATCGGTGATGGTGGACTTTCAACCAACGACATAAATATTGATGATATGATCTTTGATAGGGTAAGATCTACCGTATTTTATAACCCAAACTACTTAGAAAATGAACTAGTGCCATCAAACCTTTTTGATATTCCTTGAACTAGAGCCATCAAGCCTCAAATATTGATGAATATGCATAAGGGGCATCATGAGTATCATTATCTAAATCATGTATGTATGAATGTTTCATATTTGAGCATGACAAAGAACCCGAAAACATTTATCTGAAGAGATTGTGAGATCAAACATTGCAACAAAAAATTTTGATTTGATTAATGATGGACAGATTCATACAGTTGATTGGTCTATTTTTTCTTTTTTTTCTCATTACTTTAGGAGTCATTCCTTGTAAGCTAAATGTAGATTGAATCATTAAATGCGTCATATGTAAATACTCAATTTGGTCTAAATCCAAATCAATTGGATTTGAATCAAATAGGTATGTTCATTTTGTATTTTTATTTTGTATCTTATTTATTTATTATTTATTTATTTATTTATTGTTATTGTTATTATTTATTAATATATATATTTTTATCTATTAATATATATTATTATTTATCTATTAATGTATATAAATTTTTATTATTAACTATTATCTGTTATTTATCTATTAGTATATATATATGTATATATATTTATTTATTATTTATCTATTTTTTTTTCTTTCTTTTCTTTGGCTGGGATTAGAGGATATTGATCAGAAAAAGTTAAAATTTAATGTGAATTTGGGATTCAATCAGAGTCCAGATTGGACTCAAAGATTAAATCCCAATCTAAAAAAGAATTAGGATTGATCAGAAACTTTTCCGATCAATCCCTATAAATAGGTCCACAGAGATCACACAGGGACACAGAGAGGAAACATAAGCTAAAAAGGTTATGGTGCGTTAAAAACAACATTAGAAATTTGTGAAAAAAAATTTTTAGAATTTTTGAAGTTTTTTTTCCGGTGAATTTTCTAGCGACATTTGAATTTTTCGACAATTTTTCTGACCAAATTTGAAGTTTTCGATAAGTTTTTGTCAGATTCCGATAAAGTTTCAACCGAAATCTAGGTTTGAGTAGAAAGAGGGAGGAGGAAAAGAAGGGAAGAGAGAGAGAAGGAATAAGAGATCTAGTGAAAAAACGAAGGTATTTGCCTTTTATACCTTGTTAAAATGACGTCGTTTTGCACTTAAGAAAATCCCAGGATCTGCACGTTCACATTCGGGCGACCCAACCTGTAGTGCCAACCCGCTTCTGACCCAGGTTCGACCTGCGCCTTAATCGACCTTTTTAGCCAAGCCGAGCCATCAAGTCCGTCATCCGAGCCATGATTTCTGTCTTGAGCCAAGCCGTTTCCAAACCCGAGCCGAACCGTTCCAAGGTTTTTTTTTAATATATATTTAATTATTTAATTATTATTATTTCTTTATTATTATTATTATTATTACTATTATTCTTATTCTTATTATTATTATTAGTATTTATTATATTAGAATTATTTAGTATTCCTTATTTTATTTTTATTTTTATTTTATGATTTTTCTAAAATAAAATTTTATAAACAAAAAAAAATATTTTTTGAAAAAAATATTTTTTAAAAAAAATTGAAAGTATCGATTTTACGATATAAGTTTTTGTCAAATTTAATATGACAATATAATACTGTCATTTTATATATGAGTTTCAAGTTGCACATGCATTTAATTAATTATTTAATATTTTAGTTGAAAATTTAAATATCGAGATAAATTTAAAAAAATATATTATTACATCTATAATTTAATTAAAGTGCATGCATACATAAACATATATTAATTAAACAGATTAAATATTAATATAACGATCATGATCCATACAGCTTAATCAAAATTTTTTTAATTCATAAATTAATGCCTTTGCAATATGATGACAATCTATATCTAATTTCCTGATGGTAAAGTTTCGAATTATAAACTCAAATTTGACTAAATGGCTGTCATCCTTTTCGAGATTGGGGCCCACGGTTCTTGCTCTTCTGTACTGTCCACGCATAGGAAAAAAATAAATAATGAATTTGATATATGGGAGATTTTAAAACGATCTTACCTACCTTGACTGACACATTTGGAACTACGTATAAAGAGAAGGCATTCCAGATGTATATTAGGGACCTCAGAATATGTTGTGAATTAGGTGCACTTCTTTTTTTATATATATAAATGAGACTTATGATTTGAATTTTAATACTTAGAATTAAGAGTTTAATAGTTTATCAAAACGAGGGTGTTGGCACATGTACTTGTCACTTATCTCTATCTCTAATTTCTATATAAACGATTCCCTTGTAGCTCTGTCTCTTCGGTAACAACTCACCACTGTCTCTCAACTCCAATTGAAGGCAAAGCTAGCCGCCGTTGCTGTCAAACTCTTTCCATCACTGATTCACTTTCCCTGGAAGCATTTCCAAAGTTCTTCTAACAATTAAGAAATTGAGAATTTATGTTATTGATTTTGTCACATAAAATCACCTTAATTTGTCTTACCCAGAATGGGAAGGATTCCATTATGCAGTGCAGATGGTTTGAAGAGAGGAGCCTGGACAGCTGAAGAAGACCAGAAGCTCATAGCTTACATACAAAAACACGGTGAAGGAGGTTGGCGTTCCCTGCCCAAGAAAGCTGGTTAGGTCTTTTCTGTTTTTGTTCTTCCATGACTTGATAAATCAATTGTCTTTATTTTATGGAAAATGATCATGTTTCTTTGTTGATTTTCAGGTCTTCGAAGATGTGGGAAGAGCTGTAGACTGAGATGGGTAAATTATCTGAGACCTGGTGTTAAGAGAGGAGACTTCACCTCGGATGAAGCTCAAACCATCATTGAACTTCATGCTGCATTAGGCAACAGGTGACAGCAAAGCTTTTCATTGACCAACGCAAAAATATTACTATATTCTTGCTAAACTTAGTTGCCATTTAGATTTTATTGCATTTTCGGTGTAGTGTGATTAAACTTATCATATTTTGAGTTGAACCCAAATGTTAAAGGTCAAATCAACGTTAATTTTTTATTAATTTTTTTCAATTACAGATACAATAAATTTTTTTTAATTGTAGTTACAATAACTTTTGTTATTATTTTTAATCTAATTGTAATCAATTTCACCATCCATCCAAATGAAATCTTAGACCAACAACAACGAATTTAAAAGAAAATATTTTTACATAAATTCATTATTTTAACTTTAGGTTTCTCTAGAATATTGAATATATTTACATTATCATACTTAAAATAATCTCCAACATTTTCTTAAAAAAATAAAAGTAAAGATACAAATGAAGAAGATCGGTTG